AATCATGATGAGGGCAAAGCACCAGCTGAAAAAACAAGGTTCCAAATCATTCGTCGCAAAATATTTCTAGTTTGGCTCATGTTTGTTACACTTTTAATGGTTGTGTTACTTGCTATACCAAATCAAATTGCTGACTTGAATCTTGGTTGTATTCCTTTGGCTGCTAGCATTTTTACAATGCTGATGGACACAATTCTCAATCGTAAGTATGCATATGATGTAATGGTCAAAATTGATTGGACAGTCATCCTTATGTTCATGGGTCTTTTTGTCTGCCTCAGAGGTTTCCAAACACTTGCTTTCCATTCATAGCATTTGAGCATTTAGCTCCTTACATGAATCTTAATACAATTGAAGGTGTTCTACTATTCTCTGTTTTTGTCATCATTGGTTCTAATATATTTAGTAACATACCACTAGTGATATTGATTGTTGGTCGTATATCTGACCTCTGTGATGATTGTGGACCATTAGGTGGGTTACTCCTTGCCTGGATTTCTACTATAGCTGGTAATTTCACTCTTATTGGAAGTGTGGCTAATCTCATTGTTGCAGAAAAAGCACAAAGCTCAGCCAAGTATCATATTTCATTTCTTGAATACTTCATATTTGGTTTTTCATCTACACTGTGGATATTATACGTGTGCCTTCCAGTAGTCTATTTTATGGGAAAACTTGCTGCTAAAATATAAACAATTAGTTACAAGAGCTGTTTGAGTGGATTGTTGAACTATTAGTTAGGCTAATTTTTTATTGAATTAATATAATTCATTTTAATTGAAATAAAAGTCCCCTATGACAATGCTGCATCATACCATTATAATGCTACTACTAACATAGATTGCTGTCATAGACGACAGTGTACATAGGATAGTTTTAATTTGTCATAATTATTGCTGACTTTTTAAAACTTTTCATTTATATTATGTGTAATATCAGGCTATAAACTTATCCATAAGAAATTAAAGCTCTGGTTTATGAAAATAGTACAAGGTAAATGCTGTTTGTTAGATTTAACTTACTCATACTTATGTAACACAAGTTACACTTTTCTATTATATCTAGCTTGCAATGACTTTTGCAATTTTTTCATAAGAATTAAAATTAGTTAAGGATTCCTTAAAACTTAAACAATAAAACGCACTCTGTATAATGGATTAATTTTATTATTAGTCACTTTAGATCTATTAGTACAGGTGAACTTCAGAGCTGAGATCAGTTACAGAACCTCAATTACAAATACACATTTAACTACAATCGTCTTGTAAAAATAGACTGAATTAGAATTACCATTATGTAATCTAACCTCTCATGTAGACATGATAAGTGATAGGTGCATGGATGATCGACATTAAAGGAGTTAAAAAAATGGTTCCATGAAAACTTTTTAACCTCCATATCAGTAGTTTTTTATTGGGAGAATGACTTAGATCAAAAGATAGAAACCCATTCCAAAGTAAAAAAATGAAAAATTGCAAAGCCAAATGACATTGCAACATAGATGATAGCTTGTGTTACATAAGTATGAGTAAGTTAAATCTAACAAACAGCATTTACCTTGTACTATTTTCATAAACCAGAGCTTTAATTTCTTATGGATAAGTTTATAGCCTGATATTACACATAATATAAATGAAAAGTTTTAAAAAGTCAGCAATAATTATGACAAATTAAAACTATCCTATGTACACTGTCGTCTATGACAGCAATCTATGTTAGTAGTAGCATTATAATGGTATGATGCAGCATTGTCATAGGGGACTTTTATTTCAATTAAAATGAATTATATTAATTCAATAAAAAATTAGCCTAACTAATAGTTCAACAATCCACTCAAACAGCTCTTGTAACTAATTGTTTATATTTTAGCAGCAAGTTTTCCCATAAAATAGACTACTGGAAGGCACACGTATAATATCCGCAGTGTAGATGAAAAACCAAATATGAAGTATTCAAGAAATGAAATATGATACTTGGCTGAGCTTCGTGCTTTTTCTGCAACAATGAGATTAGCCACACTTCCAATAAGAGTGAAATTACCAGCTATAGTAGAAATCCAGGCAAGGAGTAACCCACCTAATGGTCCACAATCATCATAGAGGTCAGATATATGACCAACAATCAATATCACTAGTGGTACATTACTGAATATGTTAGAACCAATGATGACAAAGACAGAGAATAGTAAAACACCTTCAATTGTATTAAGATTCATGTAAGGAGCTAAATGCTCAAATGCCATGAATGGAAAGCAGGTGTTTTGGAAATCTCTGAGCCAGACAAAAAGACCCATGAACATAAAAATGACTGTCCAATCAGCTTTGACTATGACATCATATGCGTACTTACGATTGAGAATTGTGTCCATTAGCATTGTAAGAGTGCTGGCAGCCAAATGAATACAACCAAGATTTAAGTCGTCAGTTTGATTTGGTATATTAAGTAACACAACCATTAGAAGTGTAACAAACACGAGCCAAACTAGAAATATTTTGCGACGAATGATTTAGAACCTTGTTTTTTTCAGCTGGTGCTTTGTCCTCATCATCATTGTTTACTGAATCATTAACTTGAACATTCTCTGGCAATGCTTCACCAGAAGATTGCTGCAGTTATACAAGCATACTAGTACTGTGATTAATAGCACTTGTATTGAAGCGTGTAGCTCCATTCCCACTTTGATCATAATCTATTGCAGTTGCTTTACGTTCCTTAGAGATATAGAGAGTTAATGATTTATTCCTATCTTGAGGGTCTTCATAACTTTGTACTGTAGCTTCTCTTTCACTGGCAATAGAAGTAATTTCTGAGCTTGCTGCAATCCTAGAATTTTGAGCCTCAGAATTTAAATGATTCTCTTCTTTTCTCATCTTTGTACAGATTAGCAAAAACAAGTACATTAGCACGACATGCATGATTATCAAACCTAGTATAGCTGCTGGAAGCACTGCTATAAAAAATTCGAGCAAAGTTAGTATACCAAGACACAATGGTAGCAGCACGATTTTGTTTGATAAATTCTGTGAGAATGAGAGGTGTAACAACAAGACAGGCAGCATCCTTTGTAATGAATGCAGAGAGGATGGCAGACATCAAGCATACCTTTTAAAGTATTGATTGAAATGGCTTATTCTCACTAACATAATTACTCTCAGAATACCTTCACAATCATAGTAATAAGACAGCATCATCATCCCAACCAGGAGAAACACTGTCTGCAAGTTATCTTTATACCCTTGAACAGACATAGCACATGTATACACGATACACGAATATCTACACGAATTTTCTGGCTCAAGTAGATAGTGGTAGATAGAGGAGAGCAGCCTAGAATATTCGCCTTTATTTTCAGATATTTCATGTATTGTATCCATACTAAAATAATCATCTGAAAAGCTTAAAAGACTGTTTTCTAATGCTTATTCTTCTGATTTTAGTGCTAATCAGGCAGGTAGCCATTGTGCATTTTTTTCTTTTCAACAGAACACATTCTTCTGTATGAAGTTTAAGTGCCTACATGGCTTTTATCATGAGTAAATAACTGCAATGGAAGATTTCATACGATGCTTTTTGCAATAAGTCACATTTTTTTAGTAGACAAAAATACATGAAAATACACATCTACTGACAAAGTAAATACAAGTAAATACCAGTTAAAAAAATTAAAATACAAGTAGATACAGAGTAGATAGAATTTGAGTAGATGTGCTATGTCTGCCCTTGAATTACATACACATCATTTTGAGAAACAATTTGAAACAATATGGATGCACTATAATGTGGTTATGCAATGCCATCAATCATCATGTGCAGATACATCTATGTAATCACATACAATTCCTTTCTCAATAGAATAATTATAGGGAACAATTTGCTGATTGTACAGCTGATGGTTAGTGCAAGTACATGTACACAAAACATGCATGAGAGAGTCACTAAAATAAAAGTGTAGTCATGCAATTACATATAAGAGTGAAAGGAGAACCTTCAATGAATTCTTGACATTCAGAATTATGGCTCTATTAAGTATTATTGTCATTGTTATTGTTAGATGATGATGTGATGGGTGTGAGCGTTAAGGACGAGATCAAGAGACTCAGTTCCAAGTGTGGAATGAGAATGCAGCCTCTGCCGGTCAGATCATCAACACTCAACAGTAAGTCTAAATGTTAGTATTGAAATACTACAGCCTGAAATGTTTGTTGTTAAACAAAATTTTCTCCCAAAGTGCTGTCTGTTATAATTATAAGGCTCTATTTTATTATTTTAATCTATAGCATTGCATGCATGCATAGATAATGTATTAATTTCTCTTATAAAAATGATAATGTACTGTCACTACTATGTACATGTGTGTAGGTGATGGATAGAGTTAGAAAGCTCCTACCAGGAGTAGAGATAAGAGATTTTTATACCTGTAAGTGCAACAACTGTTAAAAGCAATAATGTCCCACCCGGCCTTCTCCTCTAGCTGTTAAAGAGGCTAGTAGATGTCTCACACCAGTGACCAGCCCCACTGACTCCTATCAGCAGTCGTTTGGCAGGTCACAGCGACCACATCTACCACCCTCCAGCATTTCACCTTTCCAATATTTCCCTCATACAGCTGCAACTTCTCATGCCCCACCTCTTATCATTAGACCCCCTCACTCTTAACTCAGTCTCACTGGTTGATTGTAGAGACTTGTAGAAAACAGTGACTTGTCTTTGTGTGTCTTTTTGCTTCCCTGCACTGAATTTTTTTAACCTCTGGGAGTGCTCCGAATCTCTTTTTTGTCTATTAGAAAGGAACTATTTACTTGTATATACATAATATTGTTGTTTTAAAACATGGAAATAAATGTTGTTATTCCTGTGGTTTTATGAATAATAATTAGTTAATGTTGTGGGTGGGCATGATGTTGTGGGTGGGCATGATCATACTCATAGTATAAACTAAAGTAAAAATGTCAAACAAGAAGCCGAGTCAACTAAAAAGGCCTCCATCATTCCCGGGCACCCATGGTTCTACAAAGCAGAGAAAAATTTCCCCAGAAAATGAAGAAGAAAAGGATTTGAGAGTCTTATTGGACCGAAGGAAAGAGCTTGATCTGAGAGAATCGCTGACTCGACCGATGACACGACAGGGAGCACGACAACTTCCAGGTGGAGAAATAAGAGGATACGACAAAAGTCACGAAACAGTCACAAATGATGCTTCACTGTGCACTCCAGGACCTAGATCTACCAGTAATCGGCCTGGGAGGAAGAGGAAACGGGCACCATTCAATCCATATTCAGAAGAAAGCGAATTTATTACTACTAAACGACAACAACTTGATGCAGGCTCCTCACCTCAGTATTATGAAAAGACAACAGCTCTTTCTTCAAGCACACCACAATTTTCTTCTATAAAAACATCAAGCAATAGTTTAAAAGATCGTCACCTGTCATCGGTACCAAGTTGGTGTGATACAATGGCAAAATACTTAAAGCTATCGGCAAAGGATGTAGTTTCACGTGAGTCCGTATTGAATGATATACACGATTGCTTTGTTGATTTAATTCATGATATTAATGTTAATGGTATCCATAACAAAGAGGGTTTGGTTTTAAAAGCTATTAAAATGTTAGCACTCATTTGTCAAAATTTGACTTGCAATGATATGATAGCGAGAGACCACACAGAAGGTGCTCTAAGCTACAAATTTATGATTTTTGATGACATTTTTTTGCCATTTTGGGCTACACTTGGATCATTCACACGTTCTCTTCCCTATTGTGAAGTTATTTTTAAATTTGATTTTATTTCTTCACTGCAACAAGTTCTAATGGCACTCCTTTATAGCAATGCATTTCCTATTCACAAAGTAGTTCAATTTTTGCCACTTGATGATTTGCATGGAGCTTTGAAGCAGCTTTGCGACAGTAGCTCTCATGATTTTAAAATACTCTATGAGCAGTCTTTACAGCTTTTAAACAAACGTGACAACCTAAGAAGTAGCCTCATAATGTCTAATGCACATGGCGATACTTTTACTCTTTTGCCAAGTAGAAGTGACCTTATGTCGAAATCCATCCAGGTTAAGAATAAGCCTCAGTTTTCTTCTGATTTGGAATATCTTGAAACCCATTTTGAACTCCTGCGTCAGGATTTCATTCGCCCTTTGTGCGATGTGCTACGCAACCTTCAAGAAAACAGTGAAGAATATTATGAAGATAACAATGGTTATAGTAGTGCTATCACGTATCAAAATGTTCGATTCAATAATAAAGATATTTGTGGTGGGGATCTTGTCTACAAAATCAGTTTTTATCTACCTAAAGGAAGAAAGGTGAACTGGGATCATTCCAAGCGTTTTACATTTGGCTCACTTCTTTGCCTTTCAAATGATGACTTCCACACTCTGTTGTTTGCTACTGTTGCTAATCGTGATGCGAATGAATTAAAGAGAGGAATCATTGCTGTAAAAGTGCTAGATGCTAGTGTTGAACGTATCAGCAATCGTTCAAAGTACAAAATGATTGAATCACCAGCATATTTTGAAGCATATTTTTCAGTGGTTAAGCAACTGCATGCCATGAAGTCAAACCCAGAAAACAATTTACCAGATTTGGCTAGAAAGTATCTTGTCAAAGGTGAAACTGTTGTTCAAATGCCACTTTACGCTCAAATTCATGAAGAAGCAAATGAAGGACACTATATTTTAAACCTAAAAGGTGTCCTGTGTCATTGCAGTACAATTGGAGAATGTCCTCATGGCTACGATAGTATCATTGTTTCCGAGACAGAATTCACTGTAAAAGAAGCAGTGGAAGAATTTCAAGATGAAATAAGTGATAGTGAAGATGAAGGAACTTTAGCCAATGCTGTAATACTTAAAAATTCAAGTTTGATTTCTTCCAGCGATTCTAGTGATAATGAAATGGAAGAATCTTTGATTCCAGTGGTTGATTTTCAAAACTCTCAGCCGTCAATGCCTTCTTTCTCTGAGAAACTTGATGAGTCTCAGGTAGCTGCTTTGAGACTAGCACTGTCATCCGAAGTTGCTCTTATTCAGGGTCCTCCTGGAACAGGAAAGACTTATATTGGAGTACAATTTGTGAAGGCTATGCTTCAAAATAGACTAAAATGGAATTCAGAAAAATCAGTACCGATACTTGTCATGTGTCAAACTAATCATGCCCTAGACCAGTTTCTGGAAGAAATATTGGATTTGGGAATAAGTAAAAATCTTGTCCGAATTGGTGGAAGGTCAAAGAGTGAGAGAATACGTAATATGAAGCTCAATATCAAAGATAAAAAACGACAGATTCGATTTGATAGAAAATCTATTATGTCCACAAGGAGGTCACAACGTCCTGAATCTATGATTTTTCCTAGCTTATTTTTTCGTAAAGAAGATTTGACCCTTATGAAATGCAAATATGATGCACTTGAAGAGCTATGTTATAAAGGCCTGCCATATAATGAGCTTAATAAGATGTTGTATTATTCATTTCTCCATCCAAGACAACTCTATAGCTGTACAAGTGACTGTGTTATACATAACTATTTTATATTTGAAGGCATAGAAAGTGTTGAAGATGTTCTCCAGTGGTTGAACATAGAAGTTAAAACCCCAGAAAATCCAAAAAATTCTCAAAGTTTTTTTAGAGATTATTATGCAGATTCTGAGGAAGATGAGCGTAGAATTGATGCTGAAGAAGATAGAGATGCAGAACTTGAAGGAGTTGAAGTATTGAATGCAGCAAAAAGTCAAGGAGACCTAGTGAACTTTTTAAAAAAACTACAAAGGTCAGATCCATATGAATCTAGAATTAAGCATATTCAAGGCAAGCTACGGCTTGATCAAAAACGTGAACTATTAAAATTTTGCTTAACAAAGCAGTGTAAATGCCTAAAACATAAACTTCACGAGCTTGAAAAAAAGAAGGAAATATATGAAGATGAAGATGATGCCATTACTCTTCAAGCACTGAAAGAAGCAGATATTGTAGGAGTGACCACTACTGGTGCCTCAATGAACATTAAGGTGCTGCAAAAAGTTCGCTCAAAAATAGTAGTAGTAGAAGAAGCAGCTGAAGTAATGGAAGGGTACATTGTAGCTGCTTTGACAAAGCATGTTCAACATCTTGTTTTGATTGGTGATCACAAACAACTGCGTCCAAAAGCCAATGACTTTACTATAGGACGAAAGCATGGTCTTGAGATTTCACTTTTTGAACGTCTCATTAAGAATGGTTTGTCATCTGTTCAGTTGAAATATCAACATCGAATGAGACCAGAAATTGCCAAATTAGTTTGCCCTCATATATACCAGGAGCTTTTTGATCATCAGAAAGTCCTAAATTACAAATCAGTTAAAGGTATGAAAACTAATATGTTTTTTGTCAATCACACTTTTCCTGAAAAGCCAATGGAAGGTTTGATGAGTCCTGCAAATAGTCATGAAGCTGATTTTGTAGTGCGTTTGGCCAAATATCTTCTTTTTCAAGGCTACAAGCCAGATCAATTAACCATACTCACTCCTTACACAGGGCAAGTTGCATGCATCAAGGAGTGTATAAAGTCTTTTGCTTTTGAATCTTCTCCTCGTATTGTTCCAATTGATAATTTTCAAGGAGAAGAGAATGATATTATAATCCTTTCCTTAGTTCGTTCTGTCAAGTCTGGTTTCATGAAGGAAGAAAATCGTATTTGTGTTGCTTTATCTCGTGCTAAAAAAGGATTGTATGTCATTGGTAATTTTGAGCTTTTCATGAAAGAATCACAAACATGGAAGAAAATTATTAATAGCCTAGACAATAATTTTTTTGGATTGTCACTTCCTCTTCAATGTCATTTGCATAAAACAATTACTGATGTAAAGCTTCCTGTGGATTTTGACAAAGTAAAAGATGGAGGTTGTTTGGAACTGTGTTGCTATCGAATGGTTTGTGGGCATGTATGTCCTAGACGCTGTCATCCAGATGACTTGGAGCATAAGCAGCCGTGTTTAAAACCATGCAGCCGCACAATTTGCTCTTTTGATCATCCTTGTCCAAGACTGTGTTCTGAAAAGTGTCCACCATGCAAAGAGTCAGTATGGAAGACTATACCTTCTTGCAATCATCAGCAGTTAGTTCCTTGTCATTGTTCACCAGATATCTTCACTTGCCAAGAAGAATGCATTAAAATGCTGGAGTGTGGTCACAGATGTAAAAGAAGATGTGGAGAAAAGTGTACTAATTATCAGTGTCCTGAGCTAGTAATGAAAATGTTACCATGTGGCCATGAAGCTCAAACAGAGTGTTTCCATGAACCTGAGGATTATATGAGACAATGTAAAATACCATGTCATGTAGAACTGGCTTGTGGGCATTTGTGCCAAGGAAAGTGTGGCTCATGTAACCAAGGCAGGCTCCATATTCCTTGTAAAGAAAAGTGCACACGCATTCTATTATGTGGTCACCAATGCTCCTCAAGGAATTGTGCCAGTGATTGTCCTCCCTGTCAATTAAAATGTCCTAGCTCATGTATTCATGGACCATGTGGCCACAAATGTGATTCTCGATGCATTCCTTGTGCTGAGCCCTGTGAATGGCAGTGTCCTCATCACAAATGTACTAAAAGGTGTGGTGATATCTGTGATAGGCCTCGTTGTGATGAGCCCTGTCAGCTCAAGTTACAATGTGGACATCCTTGCTTAGGCCTTTGTTGTGAGCCTTGTCCACCACTATGTAGAGTTTGTGATCCAAAAAATGAAGCTTTTAGTATTCTTTTTGGTGAAGAAAGTGAACCAGAGTCTCGTTTTATTGTGCTAACTGAGTGCCCTCACATTTTTGAAGTGTCTGGTTTTGATATCTATATGGATAAAAATGATGAAGCTGTCAAGTGGAAACGTTGTCCACATTGCAATACAAATATTACAAAAAGCCTTCGTTATGGTAATGTCATCAAAAAAATTAAAACAGACATGAATACCATTAAAATGAAGGAATTTCAAATATTAAATTGTTTTAATCGTGGTAAAATGAAGAGGGATATTTTAGAATGGAATGATAAAATTCAGTATCGTAAAATTCGTCACATTGATGATTTACCTGATGTAACTTTACAATCTTTGCATACACTCCTTTCTTCTGCCACTGAGTGTGCTGAATTAAAAGAAATGTTTCATACTGGCTCTGATTGTAGTGATATTATTTGCATTTCCAAGCAAATCATTAGGCTACACAGTTTTTTGAGATCACATCATGTTAAAAATTTGCAGTGTTTACCGCAACAAGTTATTAGTGACATTCAGTGTGAGATTAGACGATTTCATTTTCTGAGAAAGTTTTATGAAGTTCACATAAAACCAAAGTCTTCTTTAGTGCATTATAAATGGATGACATACATGTATAAAAAACAAATTGAGGAGCTGAGTCTAACAAGCTATAAACCAAATTTGAAAATGACAGAGGAAATATATAAAGAAAATTGTGAAAGTCTGTCTCGGTTTTGTAGAGAAAACAATCTTGATGCACCAACACCTGAGGAAATAAGGCAAATTGTAGCTGCCATTGGTGGTAGAAAAGGAGCATGGTACAAGTGTCCTAATGGACACTACTACCATATTGGAGAGTGTGGAGGAGCAATGCAGGTAGGGAAATGCATCGAATGTGATGCTCAAGTTGGAGGAAGTCATCATCGTTTACTGGATGACAATCAGCACGCTGGAGAAATAGATGATTCTCGGTTTGCAGCTTGGGGCCAGGAAGCCAACCTTAATAATTATGACTTGAATGATGTTTTGTGAAATAATTATTATAATGTTATTGTTGAGTCTATATTATTAAATTTAATATTGTTTCTTAGTTATTATTAGCATTAATAGTTTGTATCTATTCAATTTGATTAAGTATAATTATGTTTATGTTTGCTAACTTTTAAACTTTGTTTTGATTACTAAGAATATTTAAAATTAATGTCATAAAAGCTCAAATTTGCCAAAATGAAATGGATACACTTACACAGCTCTATATGCATAAATACATTAGGTGTTTGACATTAACTATAAGGAATTATGTGAGAATACTGGGGTATTTCCTACAATCAAAACTTAAGTGTAATAATTATTTTACAGAACAATATCAATAAAGTGCTCTGTGCTGTTAATAATTCAGCACTGACTTACACATTCAGAGTAAGCAGACCAGACTGATTACATATTACACATTAATGTATAAGCGAATTTTATAACACCCCTGCTAGGGATACATTGCATTTGTATGACTGAACCCGAGGGCAAAGTCATACAAATGCAATGTATCCTGTAGCGCGGGTGTTATCAACATATTTACCAGTTTTATATGTTGTTGCAACTCATTGTCATATTTTGACTATTTTGACTAAAAACTTATTTTCAGGCATAATGTAGCAATTTTATTGATTTACAGGGCTTGAAAAGCAAATCAGCTACTTCTGACTAATTTTTCTTGACTGCTAAATTGAATTTTCAACCTTGCTGTATTGCTGTAGCACTAGCTAATTATTGTATTAAGAACATCGTTGCAGTTTCTGGGACTTGTGATGTAAAACCTTGGAGTTTTCAGCTAAAAACCTTCAGCCCCACCCCTCATTAAGTATGCAGAAAGTATGGTTTAGCTGATTATCTCTGTAGTTGTTAGTTCAATTTTAGTACTTTTATTTTTCATAACAAGTAATTGTGCATACCTAGTTGCTGATACCAGACAACAATCAGAATTGCACTGCTAGCATACTAAATCTTTTATCATTATGCAACTTCTGTATGGCTAAATCTCTCATCCCTGGATCAAGTGAAAGGACCTTGCCTCATGAACTGTTTCATATTGCATGCTTTCACTGCATAGTAGTAGCAAATGATTATATTTGGAAATATTTTTGGAAATTAAAAATAAAAAAATAACATACAACAATACAATGTTTGGTCATGCATGTCAGTGGCGGATCTAGGGGGGTTCCATGGGTTCCATGGAACCCCTCTTTGGCAGAAGAAGTTGTCTTTTTGCAGTATTTTTGGATTCTTTGCAGTCAGTTTGCAGCACTTTTCCTCCATTTTATTAATTAAATTGATGAGCCACACCCAAATTTTAATTAAAATTAATGAGCCACACCTACTTAAGTGAAATGGAACCCCCCTTTTAATTTTTCTAGATCCGCCAGTGCATGTATATAGTCCTGTGCTCTTGATACTACATAGCTTGATACTTGAATTAGACTATAATCATACAGAGAAACATAAAATGGGAAAATATATAATTGACCTTACTTGAATGAAATACTTGATACTTTTAGTAAGCATAAATCCTAAGCTCGAAAGAGACAGAGACACTAAAGAGATAAAGAAGGAAAAATGGCAAAGAGAGGGAGGTGCACAGCAGTGAATTGCAATGGTAAATCAGATTAAAGAGCAAAAATGACTGTAATCAAGAGTATATAATGGGGAAGCTGTAATGCTATTCAGTGTGTATAAGAGTAATGGCAATTGCTTTATTTCATAAGCTACGTGTATAATACTTTAATGAATCAGTGACATACATGTAGGCCTGTGCCTGGCATACATTCTTGATATGCATATGCTAAATGTAAACATATTACACATGTAGATGTAAAAAGGAAGGTAGAGAGAATCGAATGTAGGATAGAGTCATACAGGAGCAAAGATGAGAAAGATGCAGAGAAGAGACATGTAGAATAGTGAAGCCATAAAGAGAGTAAAGAGAGTGTATGAGAATAGCTATATTCAGGGAGATTGCTGAAGATTGTATGTAGTGCATCTTAAGAGGGGGGAAAGAGAGAGGCAAAGGGAGATCAAATAAGACCATACATGTAGAAAAAGACATTGCACACTAAGGGAAAGAAATGAAATGTTGCCAAGTGGTATGCACAGGGTTTCCCACAGGTTTTAGGTATAGTGCTCAGCATTTTAACAGTGGGTTTTTAAAACTGCTCTATAGTTTAACAAAACATCCTGTATATATTACATGTATGTCAAAAATTGCTAGAAGTGAATTTCCTTTTTTCTATTTTCTGATGCATATACATGCTCTTATGTTGTGTCGAAAGTTCGAGCTGATTCTGATCAAATTTGGACTTTAAATGAATTTATAAAGTTGCTCAAAATTTGGACAAAATACCCTGTACTATTAGTAACGCGGTAGCGTTACTAAGTAGGATTCACCCCCAAAACAATACTGCATGGCTGCCACGACTTTTGCAGCCTTGCTCTACCGGGAAAACGAGCTCCTGTGCTTACCAGACTTTATAGAGGACCTTATCTTGACCAGAGGACTCCATTGGTACCACTAGCGTGGCTCTAAACCTTGTCTAAGAGGAAAGTCAAAAATCGGCGAACCGGCCGTTTTGTTCAGCCACCTTTTTTTCATCTTCATCATCATCATCATCATCTTCTGTCAATCAGTTAAGCAGGGGTATCGTGGTCTTTGAACAATGCTACAAGGTTAATTCTTACACCATTCTACTCCAACTATCTATGCGCAGGTCCACAACTTTTTAAATAACTCTAACAATAAGAAAAAGTTGCCCCCTCTCCATCACCACCAGCCCAGCTTACCTCATTCCGCCATTTTGTTAATTAAAGAAGCATGCATGTGCTCCAAAATGTGGGTGTGGCTGCGCATGCTCAGTTCTCAGAGCTGGGAAAAGGAAGCAATTTTTTTATCTAGCTCTGCTTGGATCAACTGCAATACTAAGTGGAAGTTCCAGGCTTTCAGTTCCAGCTAAGAGAAGGTATTTAGTCTTGGATATCATTTTTTATTATGTGTGTTCAATAAATTGTATAATATTAATTCATGTTATACAATGATCATGAACTTACAACAGAAACAACAGGACAGGATTAGTCAGGCGGGCCTGACCCTCGCGAAAGCCGGAGGGTCAGGATAAATACGTATACCAAAGTTGGTTGCATTTGTATGGCTTGGGCGGGGCTCAAAAGCTATCAGCATCCTAGTTAATTATGCCCCACCTATCTAGGGTGGAGTTATGTTGGCAATATGTGGGGGCAAGCTGCTGTGCTTGTGGAAGAGATGCCACAAATGTAGCCCTTTCAATTTAAAGCAGAAGCCTACAAGCATATTTATTTACCCAGGAGTATTATATAACTTACCTGATCCTTCATTATTAAACTTACGGGCTGACTCAGTGGTGTTAAAAACTTAAAGTTATGATGATTACCTGGCAGTAATGCATCAAAATTAATGGCAAATAGGCACTCTTCAAATCCAGTCAGAAAAACTACGATAACACCACTACCACGGTATAAAGCTACTAATATAAAGTAATAACTAGTCATACTGCTCTTCTTAAGCTGATATCCTAGCCTTCTGGCAGCTTCAACTTTAGCAGAATCTTGTAGCTCTATTGGATGGCTTTGAAAAAAGTCAGTTCAGTTTTATTTCGAGAAATCATGCCACTCATTATCACTCAATAAATAATTATTAATGGTTATAAGTATTAATTAACTATTAAAATGATGTAATTAACTATTAAAATGATGTAACTTCCTGTACTGCAGAAATTTTGCAGTAAGCCAACTTTGGTATACGCACTTATCCTGACCCTCCGCCTTTCGCGAGGGTCAGGCCCGCCTGACTAGGACAGGATTGGAAGGAAAAGATGGGTATTGTCACTTCTTGAACAAGGATTTGTGTCAAGATTATTATTATATCATACTTCACTAAACACTGATCAGTATAGAATTTCTTGATCATAACTGTTAGCAATCGACACCATCTGAAAAGAATATTACAAATATTATAAAAAAATCAACACAAACAAGAACATAAAAAATTTTAAAAAAACAAGAT